ATCCCTGCTGGACCAAAGAATTGCAGGCAGATGCTTGCAGTGGCTCAGGCTAAAAGCCAGGGCTCGTTAGGGCAGCCCTCCCTTCCCCTCCACAGTGCTGAGCTGAGGGGGGCATGGCCAGGCCCTGGCAGGATGCTCTGATTAGGGAGGGGTCCCCCCCCACCTCCTGCTGTTGATAACAGAGCATCAAGTCACACAGCAGGGAGTTACACAGGGAGCTGTTATCATTTATCAGCCCATCAAATAAAACAAAGCATCTCTCATTAGTTCAAGCTCTTCTTAAACAACTTTTTCTAAGGAAGGAATGGAGGGGCATTATCTGTTGATTAGCTCCAAAAGGCCTAAACTGACATTGTCCTGTCTGCCTTTGTCCTGTCTCCCACAACGCAGACCAGAGCCAGCATGTGGTATGGTAGCTAAAGCTGAGAGGTGTCTGTGTAAGGCAGAAGGGAGGAAAAAATCCCTGCTTGAGCAGGGAGTGGTGAGGGGGAGGGGAGGGAGCAGGAAGAAGGCAGGCAGATGTTTGCAGTCTTTGCCTGAGCTCCAGCCAGAGAGCAGAGGGGAGGGGCCAGCTCTGCTGTAGAGCAGAGAGCCCAGCCCAAAGAGCATGCTGGGATGCTGGGGGACTCTGGTTTAACTGAAACCAGGAAGGGGTCTGGGACACACATTGCATAAACCAGTTTGACCCAAATCAGTTAAGTCTGATACTACTTTCAACCAGGTTTATCAACTGGTTTCAGCCATTTTCAAACTGGTTTATGTTTGGTGTTAACTGTTCTATTACAGGTTTAAATCAGTTTCTGATCACTTAAACTGATTTATGTGTAATACCTGTCTCTAGCCTTGGTGTCCCATAGAGCAGTGGTGTCAAGCTTCTTTGTCTTCTGTAGGCCAGATCCAGATTACAGGGCTTTAATGCTGCCACTGGTCACCCCCCTTTTCTCCTGATGCCAGTTATGGTCACCACTGGCAGCTAGGCTTCAGGTATGATGACAGGCAAGAGGGTATGTGGAAGGGGAAGTGACCAGCAGCAGCATTTCCCCACTGAGTGCTAGAGCTGTGCTGACAAGCCCCGTGGGGCCTGCAGGCCAGCCACCAGTTAGACAGCTGTGGCATAGGGAATTCACAGCACACCTAAATCTGGGTTTTCCCTTGCCCTGGCATAAGGAAAGGGGCAGGGATAGTACAGAATGAGCTATGGAGGGAGGGTTTTTGACTGCTATGGAGCAGAATGCCAGGTGTATCTTATGCTGGGGTTGGTACATAATCAAATTTGATCTGTGTAGGCAGTAGCTGTGAATGATTTCACTGTCACATTTACTTTCTGCTGACATGTTGGCATCAGCATTGGAGATGTCCAGAATGGAGGCTGGACACAGTTCGACTGCAAACATGATCAAAGACTCAACACTTCAGATCCTGAATAGAACTTGTACAACAGGAGGTCCTTGTGTTATTTTGTCTTAGATGAGTATGTAAAGACAGTAGTGTCTTTTGCTTCTGTGTTTGCCACTGCCATCTGGAAGCTCTGTGGAAGGACTGGGAAGCAAGGATGGGCTCCTGAAATTCAAGATTCTAATGACTCCATGTAATTACTTTAGGTCTATTGTACAAATGATGTACAGTACTTATTTTTATTGGTCCTTTTTAACTTTGTAATTAACTAGTAAGTGTAACTCTTAAGATAGCTGGGAGTTTACCCCCTCGAATGTAGCCACAGGCCTACTCCTTTTTTCAGTCTGAGAAATGTTTTTTTCTTGTATGGCATGATGTCTTTTAAAGATATCAAATATTTAAAAGACTCAGTAAATACCCCAGCTTGGAAATGACAAGCCATGCATGTAAATGTACTTGCAAGCACTATCATTTTGTTAGCATGATAACACACCTTTCTGTCTTATTTAATTACATAACTATGGAATTCCTTTCAGCTCTCAACAACGTCATTGCCGTATGGTCTGTATACTTATTGCTTGAGCATCTGTCATGCCCTTGGCTATCTGAATAAAGAGGCATGTATTTCACATCCAGGCATACAATTATCTATATTAAGTCAAAGCTACTTAACATACCAGTTACTGAGAAGTTGAAGTTCTAGTATCTGAGATTCCTTAGTGTTTTTCTATAAATGTAGTTTCTTTGTACTTGGCTTGCACTTGTCACCATTTGGTAATGATTTATCTAACCTGAGGTGCAGCCCTGTTTCACTTCCCCTTGCTGGTGCGGGCCCGCCTCTCGCTTGAGTTTGAGCATGCGGTCCTCTGGCGGACGGTGCCCACCTTTGAGGAATGCTGGGCCGTCGGAGGGGCGCTGTGCTGAGTCGAGGGGGGGACGCCTGCTCTTTGCACTGTGGTGCCAGCACCTGTTCAGGGTGCGGGGGCAGGTCCAGCAAGCTGAGACCTCAGGCTTTGTCTGTGCGGGCTGACCCCTGATGTCCTGAGGCCCCCCGGGCATCCCCACTGGCAGAACTGTATATATGTATATATTTCTTTGTCACCTGTTTTTTTATTTTTGTCTGGAGTGTGTGGGCAGGCCTTGCAGGCCATGAGCCCAGGCCTTGTACTTAGGGCCAGACCTTCAGGCCAACTTATATATAGTCCTTACTGCCCCCCACTTGTCACCCTCCCCAGAATAAATGTTTCTAAAAGTAAAAAACAAAAACACCCCAAACCCCTATGGAACTTTCTCTGGACTTTCATAACATAATCAAGGCGGCTGCTTGTCCCTATGGTGACAATGGTTAGCAACATTTTTGGGCAGTGTGCCAAAGCACGCACAACCTTGATTTGTAAGATGTTGATGTGCTAGGGTCAGAAAGTGGGGGAGCCATCAGACTGACGAAGGGTGTTTGTATCCTAAAGCTTGCAAAGAAGAATTTTTCCAACTATTTTAGTTGTTTTAATAAAAAATATCACGTTTACTCAAAGAACCTTGTCTGCCTATATCCTTAAACCAACACAGCTACAACCTATACCTCTCAAATGTTTCCACGTTTTTACGATTATTATGCTGCCTTGTGATTATGACAAACATGGTGAGTCTTTATCATCGTCCCTGATAGTCTGTAGAAGTGCTGTGAAGCTTCATAAGGTTATACAGCAAAAGTTTTGGGTAGATCAAATGCTTAGTGCCACCTGGTCTCTCTGGAGGGAGCTTCATGTGCCTCAAAAGCCATGCTAAACCGAATGAATTCTTGACCTCCCTGCAAGGGAGGGTTGGGAAGATGGTAGAGTTCCTCCATATCAGGTACAGAGGAAAATGGATGTTGCATAATTTCCAGAGACAGGTTAGAGCCTACACTCTATGTAGGTTCCCCAGAGCTCCAGGAGGAATCATGGATGTCTGTGTCCAAAGGTCACTGTACCACTCCTGCCATGAGGCTGTGACTGTTCAGCCCTGTGCATTTCCTAGGGATTATAAAAACACAGTTAAAATAGTAATCACTACCACATATCCTTTTTTCATTTCTCACTTAGCATGTTTCATTTTTATTTGACACATTTAAATCATTTTTGTATGGGCAGAATGTGTGTTGCATAAACAACAGTATTCCAAAAAAAGGGCCACGCTTAGAAAATTATAAGTGCCAAGAGAAGATTTATGAAGATCTGGTTAGACGGTGGTTGTAGACTTTGCTGTGGTTGTATGCAAAGTCACTGTATATTTAATAGTTACTGTGGTGTGTTAGCAGCATATATTCTTATTTTATCATGATCCTTAAATGGCAGGTAGGTTGCATCCCATGTAAATACCTGCTTTGTACTCTAATAATAAGAAAATGCATTATCAAAGGATTACATAGTGCTGTATGAATATCGATTACATTTTATAGGTAAGTAAAATGAATACCAACATTTTCAAACTTGGATTCTTAAAATTAGTCATTTATGATCATGTTGAAGTACTCAGTTAATGGGCCTACATTTCAGAGGTGTTGAATATACTGTAGCTTTAATTAGAGTCCTTAGGGTGCATGGTATGTGAAATGGGTGACATTTCAAACCCCCTGAGTTACTAGGTGCACCTGGAAGGTCTTGTATTCCTCCAAAAGTGCTGAGCTGCACTGGAAAAGCTTTGGAATAATTGACAAGCATAGACCAGTGGTATTTTCCTGTTGACAGAATTCTATACTGGTAGGGTAAAGAGATCTGAGTGGGTTGTATAGGCTACAGGACAGGACAGAAATTGGACCATGTCATCCAGGATGCACAGCTGTTTCTGGAATCTAATCTATGTAGTGAAATCATTTCTGGAGTTGAATTGACCTAAATTGGTGGTGTCAAACTCATCAACACCCACAGGCCAGGTAAGTGATGCAGGTCTGATTTGTGGGCCAGATGAACAATGCAGTGCCAGTTCCACAAGCTAGAATGGGCTTACCCCCCTAACCCCACCCCTCAGCTGCCAGGTCCAGTGTCCCTGGCCTCTACTCCGGCTGGTCTGGGACTGTACCACATGTGTCACCCGCTTCAGCTGGTCTAGGACATGCACTACACACAGTGCACACCCCAGATTGTCTGAAGCAGGTGCTGTGTGTCCTGGACCAGCTGTAAGAAGTGCTATAGGCACTAAATCTGATATGTAGGGGGACCCAGACTGGCCCAGCTTGGGTATCACATGCAACATATGCATCAGATCACCTTGGGGCAGATGTTGTATGCAGCATATATCTCAGACTGGTTGGGGCAGATGCCACGTGTGGTTTGCATCCTAGGCCCTGTTCACAAGGTTGGTTTGGTACATGCCCTGTGTGGGTCATCTAGAGTCCCAGGGGCAGCACTAGGGACCTGCTGATGAAGGTCCACAGGCTGCACATGGCCTGTAGGCCACATCGTTGGCACTCCTCACCTAAATCATATATGTATGATTGTAATTGCAATGATGTAATTGTCAGTCTCTTTGAGATGAAGATGCCAATTTGACATCAATCAAAATAAGTTTCCAATCCTGCACTGTTCTTTCTACGATAAACTCAAGGTGTCATTATAATTAACTTTCAGGAGATAGCAAGATGTGGGAAGAAAGGATTCTATGAAGGTACAATTGCAGCAGCTGTTGTAGAAACTGTTCAGAGACATGGAGGAGTAATGGATTTAGAGGATCTTAAAAGCCATGTAACTGATGAAGTCAAACCGATTTTCACAAATTATAAGGTAGGAGGGATTGTTCAGTGCTTTGAACCTGGTAGCGCCTATGGGCTAGGATTTCCAAGTTTGGCTTGAATAATTACGTGTACCTATTTGCCTGCCTACCATATCTGTCAATAGCTAGCATACACTGTGACTCAAGGGCTTGTCCTTGACAGCCATATGGCCATTTTGTGTTTATTAAGACCATCTATATTGGGGGTGGGCTGGATCCATCCTGCAGGTGGGCACCCACCAGTTAATTGTATCAGGCCCAGCTGATGTCTGCCCCATCTGTGCTTCCCATGGGGCTGAGTCCCACCTGGGGTAGCATGTGCTATGCTCCCAGCCCCCCGACCAGGGGGCCCCAGCCCTTACCAAGGGCCACAACTTCCAGGCAGGGTGGCTGCTGCTGAGCTCCTCCAGCGATGATGACTCCTGTCCCAGTTGCAGTTCTCTGAGCAGCAGATATGGAAGGGAATCTGCAGTGTTGAGGGAAGCGGGGTTGGGGGTGGGCTCTGCCTGCAGCTCACTTTAGTCCTGCTTGTGTATGGCTGGGCAGGGGAGTGAGTGGATGGAGGAGAGGCATGTATGAGCTTGGCTCCTTGCAAAGCCCTGCCAGGCACGTGCATGCCAGGCAGATGGGGCAGAAGCAGCAGCTGCAGGAGCCAGCCTGGGATTGGTTATAGTCCTGTCAGGCAGGTACAGGACAGGCATGTGGGGCAGAAGTAGCAACAGGAGCCAGTGCAAGCTTGGCTGCAGCTCTGCCAGGAAAGCACAGGACAGGCAGATGGGGTGGAAGCAGCAGCATCAGGAGCCAGCTCAGGGTCAGCTGTAGCCCTGCCGAGCAGGGGCAAGACACAGAAAGCAAGAGAGCTCGTGTCACCAGGCTTGGGCTTCCTCCCTTTCCCCCCACCCCCTTGCTTCTCCTAGGAACTTTCTTTGCTGCCTACTGGTGGCAGCTGCTTTCCCACCTGTTTGCAGTGCTGCAAGCCAAGTAGGCAGCACGCATCTTCCACCCCACCACTGCCAACCCCATCCACCACACCCCAACCCCACACATCACCATACCCTATACACATCCCACACATACACCTATGCACACCCTTCCCACCCCCCCGCACAGCCCCACCATGCCCACACACTCCC